CCCTGGGTGTGTAAGAAAGGGCCGTGAGAACTAAGCACTGAGGCAACCCTCCATGCTCTCCCTCTTATGAACTGCCTAAGTTCACAGAATCCGCATTGCTGTCAGCTGGGCATCTAGCCTCTGCTTGAAAACCTCCAAAGAAGGAGAGCCCACCGCCTCCCGAGGAAGCCTGTTCCACTGAGGAACCCTCTGACTGCCAGGAAGTTAGCCGAAAACTCCTTTGATTTAATCTCAGCCTGTTGGTTCTGGTCCGACCTTCTGGGGCGACAGAAAACAACTCTGCACCATTCTCTACATGGCAGCCCTTCAAGTACTCGAAGACTGTTATCGTATCACCTCTCAGTCATCTCCTCTCCAGGCTAAACATACCGACGAAGCATCACTTGCATTTCTTGTTAGTTTCATACCAGACTGGTGATTATAGGATCTCTGTGAAAGAAGACATAGGAATAAGAATTCATTGTGCACTGGGTGTGCAGGTCGAATCACAACCAGTCAGGTGAATTCATTACTTGATTTTATGCTTGGATTGTTATACGTATTGGTGGTTTTATCCTGTTCCCTGTTTACAATTAGTGAGACGCAATTCTCCAACACAGTTCTTAGGGATAATCACCTGAGAGACTTTTAATTACAATTTGTATTAGCAATGACAACCTGAGTAGCCCAGACTAGCCTGAGTTTGTCAGGACCTAGAAGCTAAGCCTGGGAAAGATAGGAGGTCAAAGAAGACGGGGACGGCAAAGGATGAGATGGTTACACAGTGTCATAGATGCAACGAACATGAAATTGAGCAAACTTCAGAGGGCGGCGGAAGACAGGAAGGCCTGGCGTGATCTGGTCCATGGGGTCGCGAAGAGTCGGACTCGACTGTGCGACTGAACAACAACAAAGAAGTTAAGCAGGGTTGGCCAAAGTTAGTACTTTGGTGGGAGACCACCAAGGAAGATTGGGGTTGCTGTGCAGAGGAAGGTGATGTGAAACAACCTCTGCTTATCTCTTGCCTTGAAAGCCCCATAAGCAGTCTCCATGAGTTGGTTGTGACTTGATGTGGTCCATGGGGGTCGCGAAGAGTCAGGCTCGACTGTGCAACTGAACAACAACAACAAACTATTTATTGTTATTAGCAATGGCAGCCATTAATTGTTTATTTTATGAAACAATGAATCTTTTTAGGAATAGAAAATTCTGTGCAAAAAAGTAAAGCATTGGACGTGTTTACAGAAAATTTTCTATCCCGTATCCCTGGATGGGAGGAGCGATATTTTCCTCTCAAAACTCAAGTCTGTTTTTTTAAAAAAAAAATATAAAATTTAAAAAGTAGTAAAGTGGAAGATCTACAATCCTGATAAATCAGCTCAGTTGAATTCCCAGGCATGAAGTTGAAAATTTCAGTTTTACAAAATGAGATGGGTATGTAAGCATGTAATTGGGTAAAGACCTCTCCTAAAACCTAATTCTGATCCATTTGTATATTTAACCTATTTTTCTCCTTCTCCCTGCTATAGAGAAGGGTTAACTGGCTGTTAATACTGAGAAATGATGCCCTGTCCCGGATAGCCCAGGCAAGCCTGATCTTGTCAGATCTCAGAAACTAAGCAGGGTCGACTCTAGCAAGTACTTGGATGTGCGACCTCCTTGGAATACCAGCAGTCGGGAGGACAGGGGCAGGCTTTATTCAGCCACTTCTCTGAATATCCTCCAGGCCTCCAGTAGGGGTCAGTCACCAGAGATCGCCATGACTTCCAGGTGCACGCACACAAACATATAAAAAAACACCAGGAAAAAACCCTGGGAAACAATTATCTTTGCATTTCTAGGTTGGATCCAACCAGTTTTTCTCCTGGTGAAAACAGAAGCATGGGTCCACATTGACCACCAACAGAAGTTACACTGGGGACCATTGAACCTGCGTTTACAAAAGCCATGTGGGACAAGCTGTAGTAACAAGAAACTGGCAAGAGTGGATGAAAAAGCTGTCTGGATCCAACCTTCTGTGTTCTGTAGTATTTGAAGCAGAGGTCATTTCGTGGGGGATCGCAGTTCCCCCGGGTGAGGTACGGGGGGCGGGTCACATGACAAAGCCCCGCCCCCTGCTTCCGGCCCTCATTCAGCCAGGAGGAGGCAGGAGAAGAGGGAGGGTAAGTTGCTTCCTCCCTGCCTCTCCCCACCCCTGCCTGCCTGGGGCCAGGGAGGGCCTTCGCGGGGCTTCCTTGCACTCCCGCCGGCCTTGCAGGTCCACCGCTGGGCCCCTCATGGGGCTCGGCAGTGGAGCTGCAAGACCGGCAGCAGCAGCCGGGACCGTTGGGGGCGGGGTGTGTGGCCTTATGACACACTTCCGTTGATGTCAGGGGTGTGGCATATGCTAATGAGTTATGCTAATGAGTTCCCCTAGCTCTTTTTCTACGAAACGACCCCTGATTTGAAGCAATTGTTGTATTGCAGCTCTTCATTCAGTTCTGCAAATAAAACCCCACAGATCTGCCTGACTATGAATCCCAATTTAAATTATTTGTGGCACATCAACAGCTTGGGGGAAATAAACTGTTTTCATGTGATTTGCATCCAGTTTGTCCAAAAGGTCAAGTGGCTATTTACAAAGCTGCACATTATTCTTATAGTCTTTATTCTTGGTAATATCAGTGCTGTAAGGCTGTTACTCCAACTTCAGGTATAGTGACCTCCTAGAAGCTGACAAGTAGGTTTATGGTTACTCGGGATGTGAACACTGTTATTCCAGAAGAAGAAGAGATTGGATTTATACCCCGCCCTTCACTACCCAAGGGAGTCTCACAGCGGCTTACAAACTCCTTTCCCTTCCCCTCCCCACAACAGACACCCTGTGAGGTAGGTGGGGCAGCTCTGAGAGAAACTGCTCTTTTTCAAGGACAGCTGTGCCAGAACTATGGCTTGCCCAAGGTTATCTAGCCAGGTGCAAGTGGAGGAGTGGGGAATCAAACCCAGTTCTCCCAGATGAGAGTCTGCGCACTTAACCACTACACCAAACTGGCTCTCAGGTTTAAGTCTAATACTCTGCTCCTTGGCCACATTGATAATTGAAATGTCTTTTTAAAAAACAAAACAAAAAACTTCGCCTTTGAAATTTAAGCAGTAGAGACTTTGTGTTCTGCCCTAGCACATGTCACTTTGTGACACAGTCCTTTTCCCCGTATGCAATATTGAAGCAGCAGTGCTGTCACTTACAAAGGCATTTTGGCACAAAAGATGTTTGCTAATGTGTTCTGAATTGGGAGGGCAATGATGCTAGTGGTTTTCAGATTGTTCTCGCTAGTATTTTGTATATAATTCATAACGGTAATGAATTCTGCAGCAAGGGAATCCATCATGGGAAATAGCTTATAGAAGCTTCCAGGCATTACTAAACAATATGAGAAGAGGCCAGGCTTCCCAGGGGATTGTCTTAACAGAAACTGTTATCTGTTCTTGCTTACAATAATGAATGAATGCCAAAGGTTAGATAGTAACTGATCAAAAAAAGCATCACTCAATCTGTGGAGAAGCTGTATTCTTTGCCTTAGTCTTTACTGCAGAAGATAGAGCAGGTCTAATAGCATCTGAATCATTGTTTTCAGGGAATTTGTCACTGTGGCTGAGGAACAATGGAAGAGGCACAAGATAAACTTTCAGTACTCATTAACAGATGAAAAAGTAACAGCACTGGGGCCAGTGGCATGCTCCCAAGAACTCAGATAAAGTAGCTCCAGGACTCTGTTGTTGATCTTCTCACTAATCTGTAATTTGTAAAAAAAACCCAGTTTTTCACATGGGAACTGAAATATGGATGATGTAACACGAAAAGGAATCCTGGTCCGATCCTGAAAATTGGACCTACCCCAATAACGGACTTTAAAGAGAAAAGCTGGAAAGTGTTACATAATTAAGGGAAGAATAATTGTAGCTAAGGAAAGGAAGCCGTACTGAGAAGCATTGTCTGCTTAAATACATTGTCTCAGCATGAAAATAGGGGTAAGGATTGGAGAGCACAGCTCTTGCACTGGAAATTGACTTGCACTGACATTTCATCAGAATTGGAAGCAGTTTTGGAGACGTGTTCTTGTGCACACTCTTCAGGGAAGGGAGGAAAGTGAAATATCTCCCCCCCCCATTTCTAGTATTGTTGGTTTACTGCAGTGTAAGTTTGTTAATCTCTTAAAAACATGTTGTGGCTGCTTAAGAGCTTTGTGTTCATCAGTATAAACAGAACTTTAACAATGAAGAAAATAGTCTTGCAGCTATTTGTTACCTGTCTCTCAGCTCTTCAGCATACCCAGAATGAGGGTATTTTGGCCTCATTAGCCGAATAAAACTTGCTATGCTGGCACGTTTCTGAACAATAGGCAGCAGCACTCAAAAGCCAGTGTGATCCATTGCAAAACCAGTTGATGGAGTCAGCAGAACTGAGTGCTGAAGCTTTCCCTGTACTCCACCTCTTTAGGTTCCTGGTAGTGATGCGGTGTGTATGTTTAAATGGTTCCCTGTGAAATACAGAGCTCCCTAGATAGAGAATGAACTTGTCAAGACTAGAGCTTCTCACTTTCTTTTTAAAGAAGGCAGCTTTTCATTGCTGAATGTACTGTACTTTGAAAACCTGTCAGATTGCTAAGTAACATAGAACAAATGATAGCATGTGTAGAGATACATCTGAAAGCCTGCCCACCCCTTTAAAAAAAATACTGGTATATTACTACCTACTATTATACTGAAATATATTACGGTATTTGATAAGAAAAATTCAGTGGGGTAATCTCTTGAGTTTGACAGAATTTAATATTTAATAAAAAGCTAGTCAACTGACTTGAAGTAATATTTTGATGATTCTTCCATGGAATATTTTTCCCCCATCCTCAAAATGTATCTGTATGCTGATATGTGAATCGATTGTCCTTCTAATTACTGTGTACTGGCCTAATTGCACTTGTATGAATACTTGAATATGCTTTTAAATCTTAAATTTTAAATCTTTCAGCATTCAGGTCTTGAACAGCGGAGAAACAGCGTGGTCTGTAATACTGTGGAGCTTTGGGAGCCAACCAGATGGCATCTTCTACTTCTGTGCCTGTAGGTTTCCACTATGAGACGAAATATGTTGTCCTCAGCTATTTGGGTCTCTTATCCCAGGAGAAGCCTCAGGGACAGCATTCTCTGCCAACTCAAGGTAGTGTTTTTTGTTTACACATATGGGAGGAAATTAACTATAAAATATCTTATATAGTTATATACTTCAGAATGTTGTAAAATAAAATAATGCATTGCTGGGGACAGATAAATAAAAGGAGGATAATGATCTTTATTGTAGTGGGGGTACACATATTACAAAATGTTGTAAAATAAAATAATGCATTGCTGGGGACAGATAAATAAAAGGAGGATAATGATCTTTATTGTAGTGGGGGTGAAATCTAGTTTATGTGGCACAATGTATGTTCATTAGGCCTGTTCTCAGTCCTCAGTCATTTCGCTTCATAACATTTTAAAATGTTAAGTGTGTGGTTAATGTCTAACTTACTGAGTGGGTTATGGAAATAGCATGAATTGAAGTCACGCTATGCTAGATTCTCATTTTTAAGTAATAGAATATATTCTTCAGTATATTTATAGGTACCATTCATGCGTGGGAAATCGCTTCCAGTACCTTTCCAGCTTTGTTACAGTTATTAACATTTCTAATATCCCATTGTACAGCTACAATTGCTTGTAACTAATGTGAACCTTTTCCATTTTCCTAGTAGTTTAATACAATACCTGCTTGATTTTCAGGGTTTTTAGTATTTTTCATTTTGTGCAGTATTGTAAAGCTTTAAGCATTGGTGGTTATAATATCTTTAAACCTGCTGCTCATGCATACAAAAAAATAGGATGTAAACAGAAACATTTGCCTCTGTTGTCTTTTAGCTGAATCCCTATGTTTTATCATCTATGTGTAGATGGGGGAATGCATCTGTAATTTTTAAGGCTGGAAGAACTTCTGCCTCTGGGAGTCAACAAACATGGACAGAAGTAGCACAGACAGAGCTCCCTTCCCACAAGAGGAAATAATTAGATCGTTTCTGTTGCCTTACTGTATCTCTAGATTTTTAGGTACAGATAGAGCTGAGGAAAGTAGTTCAGGTAATGGTGATGGACAAATCAAGGGAAACTAGGAGAAGACACTCCTGGACATGTCAGGAGCACAGCAGGATCCAGGAACATGCTGTCTGTGAACATGATCCTTCAGAGGGAGTGTAATTGCATGTAGAATAGGCAAACCCTCATGTCCCCATTTTTTTACCTGGGATCCCAGTCAACGTCTTGTCTGTCTTTGATTCCGTTTGTTTTAGATTCCTTGATTCAATTAGGCAGCATGATGTTAAGTCTGTGAATCAGGCTAATGTGACAGTTCTAATCAGTTTGATAACCATGACCCTAGAAAAGATGGTGTGAAGGAACGAGCTTGCAGGCCCTCTCTGTTTCTTCTGATTTGGACCCCTGGAAGGTTAGAAGAACCCCACAGCTGTCCCAAGTATTTGCATGGCAATACTTCCCTGGGGTGCCATTTACAAACCAGGTAACCACTGACTGCCACCAGTGACTCTTAGGAGTATATACTGCCAGATGGAGTCATATGTCTAGCACTTTGTGCTTGCATTACTGTTTTGAAGCCCCATCTAGTTGCTGTGTCTCCCACTTTGCCTCTGCAGGCAGAAGTGGGGGCCATTATTGCATCTTCACAATTTAGAGCTATTATGGTCCAGGGATGGAGAGTTTCTCTGCTTCCCCTCCCTGTAACCACTCTTCAGACACCAAGAACAAATAGGTGTGGTATTTTTCCCAGAGTTTGGACTCGGAGCATTTAAAATATGAGAGAGTTCAATGAATGAATAAAAGAATACACATATTCTTTTCAAGCAATTCAGGCTTAGCAAGGGAACAAAGAAAAAGTGAAAATACACAGTTTTTGGTCCCTACTGTAGGTACTTTAAATCATGTTGAATTTTAGGACAGCCAAGATTTATTTGAAGTTGCACTAAAGTTAGACTTCCTCTTTGCCTTAGACTTCTAGGTTGGGTCTTCTCTCCATAGTCCTCTGCCTCGTGGCATCCTTTGGTGAAAGCTTAGTCCATCATGGCTTGTGAGCATCTGAAGAACTGTCCAAAATGGAAGAAGAGACCTCTTCCAGACTTTTTGTAACCCCTCCTTTGCCCCCCCCCCCTTGGGATGGCCTTCCTGTTCCAAAGGAAGAATTTTCCTTCTGCTGCATTAGTCTTCCTGACTTTAAGGCCATAAGTGTGACTTACTAGCAGGAGATGAGATAGTATGCCATTAGCATAGCTAAGAGTTTGAGTTGTCTAAGTTGGGAGTTTGATGGCTCCTATCTCTAACCTCTCTTCTGTGTACATAGAGCAGTCACAATAATTGAAACATTGCATTGAAAAAGTTGGCTGTGGGGTGTTCCACCGATAGCCTTCGTTTTCATAATTGTGCATTTACCAACCTTATATCTGGAAAAGGATACTCTTGTATTGTGCAGTTGCAGTTGTATAGTCTTGTAACAGGGCATACTGTGCTACAGATCAAAACTGACAGATTTTCCTGTAATGAACTAGCCTGTACTACCAATTAAAAGAATACAATTACTTGCATTTTTATCCTGGGAGAAATGCTGTAAAGGAACCGTCACAGTTTGAGTTGTCTTGTCAGTAAAGCACAGCTAAATATGGCTTCCTGTGGAGTCTGGCAGTGCCACTCTTGAACTGACCGGAGGGCGTCACTTTAGAGCAACGTATTATTATGCTAGCATTATGGAAGCTGGCAAGCCTTTTCTGGTTCTTTATGAATAGCTTTGTAAATAGAAGAAAAATGGGTAAAATTTGGCAGCAAGAATATCCTGTTGTGCTGAATCAATTTTTGGAACTAGAATGGGGTGTTTCCTATAGCCATCTACCCCATAAATATCTAATTTGATAATCTTTGCAGTATTGCCTCTTGGAAAAACCATCAGAATGGGTGCTTTTTATGCATTAACAGCGCTGAACAGTTGCTTGAATGTTGAGTTGCTTTGAAGTTGGATATTTCAATGGAGTGGAGGACATTAATAGTACAAATTAGCTGCTTAAACAGTACTTGTACGTGCTGAAATTTCTCTTCCTCATTTTCAGCATGGTTTCTTATCTAGTATGACAGCTTGTTATGTGTGGTCAGCATCATGCAAGTCCTGTGGAAACAGGTGTTAATAATGGATTCTTTCTCAGTTGGGCAGGACAAAGTTTTCTTGTATAATAGTAATGTAGTCTTTCTCAAAGGGGGGTATTGTACAAATACTTAGGTGGTCAGAATGAGCTCTCTACTGTCAAAAGAGCTGCTGTTTCCCAAGTTGTAATTTTGGCAGTTTTGTAATGGTGCTACTCCATGGAAGGGTAGTTTGGTAGTATCCCTGGTCTAGAGCTATGTTTTCCTGCCTTGTAGTCTAAAGGACCAGAAACTCCATCAACACCTAGGAATGACTTTTGGCCTAACCCGGTACACTCTTATCCTTCAGTATTTTTTGAACATGGGACACTTTGGGTGTTTACAGACAGTTCTCTTGTTTTTACATGTTGCTTGGGAATATATAGTAAGGGTTGAAGCTGTTAGGATGAGGTGGGTTGGTAGAATTTATGACATGAAGGTGAACAGTGATGCTGGTTCTTCCCACTGTTGCTATCTCTTTAAACTAGAACCAGGCCTGCCTCCCTAACCAATGGTGGTTGATATTGGACTTTCATCTCAGTAACATACTGCATTGGAACATGGTTTGCAGTTCCTTTTTTATTTCTTTTCCATCCCTATTTTTTTTGGGAGGGGGAATATAATTATTAAAACCTTGGCATAAAAAACTTGGCCCTCACTTTTGATCTTTAGGAGGTAGTTGAAGACAGTTTTATTTAGGACTGCATTTGATTAAGTTTAGTAGCAGTCCTGAGTAGTGATTTTATATCTCGGTTTTATGTTTTTAATGTATTTATTCTGGGTGTTTTACCTATGTTTGTAAGCTGCCCTGACCCTCCATAAGGAAGAAAGGTGGCTGATAAATGTTTTAAATAAATAAAAGACTTAATATTTTAAAACGTAGGCCAAAAGGGACGTGAGCTGATAGGTAAACTGTTTTGAAGCAAATGCCCTTGCTCCTGAATGCCAAAAATAATGTCACTATAACTGTATAGATTTTAGGAGGGGGAATTTCAACTTGGCTGTATTACTCAGACAGTTCAAAAGGCCACCAGTTAAAGTATTTGATACATTTATTTATATTTCGAATCCTGAAAAGCTGAGAGAGAATGAGTCCTTGTGGTAGAATATGTGGGAAAAGAGGTGCATTAAAAGAACCCTATCTTCTGCAATGTTGGTCGATAAAATTTGTAAGAAGAATATAAATAAAAGTACATGAGGTTTTCTGTTGAAGAAGAATGTGTATGTAAAGATCTCTTTGTTTTGCAAGTTGCTAAGGAGAAAAGCATCAGAAAAATTACATTAATTTATTGCTTTAAATCGGAGTGTTGAAGGGCTTATCAATCAGTGTCTGTAGGGTCAGAGGACCAGGTTTGCTTTCTTCCTGTAAATATTAGTGTTTTGAATAACAAAACATATAAGGTTGCATTTCAGGGAAATTGTGTTAATACTAGATTATTAATGCATGGATAATGTCTGAATTATGTATGGTCATTGCTTAATTTTCAGTCTTTTGCTATATTTAAATACACTTTAAAGCAGGGTTGTCAAACATGCGGCCCGGGGGCTGGATTAGGCCCCCGGAGGGCTTCTATCAGGCCCACAGTGGAACTGGCTGTCTTCTGCTGCTTCTTCCAGTTCTGCTGCTGCTGCGTCATCATAGGTTTGCAGTTTACAAATACACACCTGAACAGCATACTCAAGATTGCAACAGCACAGACATTTTGATGCAGTAATTCAGAGCAAGATGTGTCAGTTATCAGACACTATTTTTTTAAGCCCCCGGAGGGGATTTTTTATTGCATTGTTTTATAACACTACAAACTACAACAGAAAATGGGAAGGGGGACTACATTTATGGGATAAAGAAAGATACCCACTACTGACTAAAAACCCCAGAGAGGAGATCATCCCACTAGCTTAACCATACATTTAGTCTTAATCCCGTTAATCTTACTATCAACTGAGTCAAGTTTAGCATTGACTTTTT